CAGCTGTCATTCTGTAACCTTCTACACACTGGATCTAATTGTGACTGAAGGAAATGGTATCTTTATTTTTATTTTTTTTAATGCCTCTCATATAGTGTCCCCTGCATTATTTGCAGATTCCTACTCCGTGTTTTGTTGCAAAGTTATAGCACATGAAGGGTAGAAAAAGTGCAGGGAAACATGCAGACCTGAATGGTGCAAGGGGTGGGAATGTGTGTAATGAAAGTAGAAAAAAGAGGAAATGAGAGTATTTAGATGCTGCCACTGCCAGGGTGAAGCTGGGTTGTCCCACAGGGCTGGGGGATTGGAACCAGGTGATTTTTAAAGTCCCTTCCAACCCAAACCATTCTGTGATTCTCTGTTTCGATGAAAGTGGAGAGACTGATTTTGGTGTACTTTAAACTGTATCAGTGCTCTCCCAATTTAATGAAGTCATCCAAAAAAGCGTTCCCAGAGGATGCAGACAGAGCAAGGAACATTTGTGACACATTCCTATAAAGCTGTCAAATGTGGGTTCAAACTTGCAGTATTCAGAGACCTCATGATGTCTCCTTGAATTATCCAGTTACCAACAAAGGGAGCTTCAAATATCCTAACTTTTATTAGACCCTTGTTGAAGAGCATATTTCACTTCCTTTAGCTGAGTTCCTGATATTATGGCCCTAAAGTCCTAATTTTACCCCAAACAGCTCCTTCCAGTCAGTGCCTCTAAGGTACAATGAATGATATGTAATAGAAAAGTGTCTGATGTCAGCCAGGGAGGACTCAACCAGAGCCTGAAAAAGAAAAAAAAGAACAGAAGAACCAGAAGAATCTGGTAATCTTATTATTGAATGCTGCTTGGAGGAATTCTTCCTCCAGGGCTCTAAATCACAAACCTTCCTCCTGACGAGGCCAACACAAGTCAGCTTGTGAGCTTTTATGAATCTAGATTAAGTTTTCATCCTGATCTTAATTTTGGAATAGAGCTCTGCAAGTTACTGTAAGAAAATCTGCTTTTTCAATAGTGCATTTGTCTGTAATGTGCAGGTGTATGTGATATTGTGCTAATGCCTCAGGCACCATGATGCATCAACTCAGGATTTGGTCATATGGCAACGGTGACAAATGGGAACAGGGAGTTTCTAACTTGATATAATGAAAGTATTTTCACCACAAGCACATGGGAATTAGTTGCTAAGAGAGGCTGTTGAATTTCTGTCCTTGGAGTATTTTCACATCCTTACCTGGTCTAACACTAATGCTGACACTGCAGGAGGCTGCACTAGTGACCCCAGTCTCTTTCATTGCAAGAACTGAAGAAAATCAATGAATTGGGATCTGGGCTCTAAACAAACAAAAGAAGGTGATTGTTCACACACAGCTCAGGTAAGGTGAGCATTAGGGGCACTTTGCTGCTGCTGGATGACAGAAGTTACTGGGCTCTAGTCTGGACAGGTTCCCAGAAAAGACCCACTAGGAGTTAATATGGAAACACCACCTCGAGCAGGAGCTTTCTGAGCTCACAGCCTGTGCAGGCAAGCCCTGGTGTAGGTACCTGAGCTAAGGAAAGAAGCTGGGGACTGTCCTGTCACTGCCTGGCTCCTGTGCTCTTTCCCAGCACCTGCTCCTGTTGGGACATGAGACAGAATATTAGACATTCAGTTTGACCCAGTACAGATGCTTTTAGGACCTGAAACCCAAACCACAATAATGTTTATTCAATGCAGTTACTATTCATTTGAGGTGGATGAGCACATTTTGTCACGGTGGTGGAGTGGCCAAAGCCTGGTGCAGTTACAAGCTCAGTGCAGTGAGTTCATGGAGCTGATGGAGCATGGAAAATTTGCTTAGAGCATCGTGGCAAATGTGTGACTCCAGAGCAAGGGCTGGTCTTAATCTCCTCTGCACAGACCTGAACATGCAATGAAACGAAGCAACTTGTATTTGATTGACTGTGGAATTGCACTAGAACTGACCTTACTGCCAGCTCTGATAACTCACACCTAACCAGAAAGACTCAGAATTGTAAAGGCCAGTGTGGTGGGTTGACACTGCCTGGATAACAGGTACCCAGCAAAGTGATTCCCCCTCCTCAAATGTTCAGGGGAGAGAAAATCAAATTAAAGGCTCGTGGGTCGAGGTAAGGGCAGAAGGGACCCTTCACCAGTTACTGTCACGGGAAAAACAGACTCAACTTGGGGAAATTAATTTAGTTTATTACCAATCAAATCAGAATAGTATATAGAGAAATAAAATCAAATCTTAAAAGCACCTTCCCATCCTTCCAACTTTATTCCTGATTCTCTCCCTGCTCCCTCTCAGTAGCACAGAGGGATGGGGAATGAATGGGGGCTGTGGTCAGCTCAGCACATGCTGCCTCTGCCACTCCTCCTCCTCCTCAGGGGGAGGGCTCTTCTCACTGCTCCTCTGGAAGACAGCTCTCCATCCTCTCCATCAGCTTCTCCAGCGAAATCCCTTCCCCTGGGCTGCAGTTGTGCCTGTGCTGCTCCAGAGTGGGTCCTTTCCATGGGCTGTGGTCCTTCCTTCAGGGACACGCTGCTCCAGCGTGGTGCCCCCGGGGTCACAGCTCCTGCCAGCCATCCTGCCCCACCCTGGGCTCCTCTTCCCCTGGCTTTGCAGGTCCTCGCTCCAGCACACGGGGTCACAGCCTCTTGCTCTGGCGTGGAGTCCTCCCCAGGCTGCAGCTGCATCTCTGCATGCCCGTGTTCCTCCGGGGCTCACAGGGGAACCTTGGCTCCTGCCCCTCCTTCTGCACCGACCTTGGTGTCTGCAGAGCTGCTCCTCTCACATGTTCTCACTCATTGTCTGGCTGCAATTCCTCCTTCGGGCTAACTCTTTTCCCTTTTAGAATCCCTTGCCCGATACACTGGCCAGCATTGAGCCCATCCTGGAGCTGGATGGCATTGCCTCTGTTGGATGTGAGGGAAGCTTCTAGCAGCTTCTGACAGAAACCACTCCTGCAGCCTCTCCTCTCCCAAAACTTTGCCATGGAAACCCAATAAGGTTTAAAAAAAAAAAAAAAAAAGAAAAAAAGGCAGCACAGAAGTTTTATCATTACGAGTTTTAATCAGAATTCTGACTTAGGATGTAGGGCTACACGATACTCTACTCTCTCCTTTATGATTGTGGATTGTTGGAAGATGAGAGTATCAGTTAGTCACTGATGTGCCACAGTAATGAGCATTCTTGGTTGTTAGACGATACTAGTATAGTGTATATATAGTGTATAAATAGTATCTTCTCCAGCAGTGGTCAAAAAGGGAAATTTACGCAAAGCAATCCTGATGCACCAGACCTGCAGTGTTGTCTGAAACTGGCGTGAAATTGAGCAAAGCCCTTTCTCTCCTGACTGATGCTGCTTTTCTTGCCTCTTACTTTCTTCTGATGATTTATTTTGGTTATTTAGAAGAAAAAGCAAACGTTAAAATTTTCCCTGTTCTGCAGCACTCTTTCCTCTCACACTCTCCTCCTGCATGCTGGCGTTCTCCCTCTCCCCCACAGCCGTGTCCTCAGTTGGTCTCCTCTGATTTTCTTTCCTAACCTGTCCCCAGTCAGACCCACCCACCCTTTCCCACCCCTCTTTGCAGCCTGTCTTTGCCGTTTAACACTCTCCTTCTATGCCAAGCTTGCAAATGTCCCATTTCCTGCCTTTTTGACCCTCCTCTCTTCGCCAGTATCAGGACAGCAAGAACCCCACGGTGCCATGCCTGGCTCTGCCACTGCTGCCCTCACTGAAGGAGGCATTTCTGCATCCTGAACCCCCTGGCTCTGTCAATCCTCCTGTCCTGCTGCAGTTACCAAGCCAAGGCACTGGCAAGGGCTCCCCACCTGGGCACCCATCCTGGCTGGCGCTGGGCTGAGAGCAAGAGAACTCCGGGCTCTGCTCTACGGCAGATCCCTCCTGGCTTGTCCCATCCACTCTGTCCCCAAACCAACCACATCCTCAGTGACCGGAGCACTAAATTCTCGCTGGAGCATCCCCACGCACCACACCAGCACCAGTCCGGCTCCTGGTGTGACTGGGGCCAGCCCAGCCTCAGTGACCCGCACCGAGCGGGCTCTCCCGTCACCCTCCTGCGTTTTCTGGGTCACAGGTGAGCACAGGGGCTGGCACAGGTCCCTCCCCATGCCGGTCCCAGCCCTGCTTTGCCGGCCGGCTGCTGCTGCTGCTGCTTTTAACCTTGGTGCCCCTGCACGCTGTGCCCGAGGTTCAAAGTCCCCGCGGTCGGTCTGTCTGTCTGTCTGTCCCTCCTCACCTGGCGCGTCCCCGGGGCACAGCGGCAGCCAGGTGCGCTCACACCTGTACATCCCCCGCTCCGGGCGCGACACAATCCCGGACCCTGGCCGGGCGAAGAGTGCCGGCGGGGATGTGTGCGGGGTGACCACGGGGAGTGACCACGGAGAGTGACTGCGGGGATGTGTGCGGGGTGACCGCGGGGAGTGACCGCGGGAGTGACCGGGGGAGATGACTGCGGGGATGACCACGGAGAATGACCACAGGGGATGAACACGAGGGATGACCGCGGGGGATGACCACAGAGAGTTATCACGGGGAGTGACCACAGGGGTGACCGCGGAGAATTACCACGGAGAGTGACCACAGGGGATGGCCACGGGGGATGACCACGGAGAGTGACCACGGGGGTGACCACAGGGGATGGCCACGGGGGATGACCACGGAGAGTTATCACGGAGAGTGACCACGGGGGTGACCACAGGGGATGACCGCGGGGGATGACCACGGGGAGTGACCGCGGGGGATGAAGTCGGGGGTGACCACCGGGGGCCGCTGCGCCTGGCCGAGCCCGGCAGTTCCCGCGGGGCCGGGACAGCGGCGGACAAAGGCGGCGGCGGCAGCGGCGCTCCCGAGGGGCGGGAGGTGCCGCCCCCCGCCCGCCCCGCCGTGGCGCTGGCGAGCAGAGCCGGGCGCTGGGCTCCGAGCGCCGGCCGCTCGCCCGCCCGCCCGCCCGCCCCGGCCGGCTGCGCGCACGGCGAACATGGCGGCGGCGGTGGGGCGGGACACTCTACCTGAGCACTGGTCCTACGGCGTGTGCAGGGACGGCCGCGTCTTCTTCATCGAGTAAGGGGGAGCGGCGGCGGGGGCGCGGGGGGCGGCGCGGCCCCGCTGCCTCCCTCGCTAACAGGTGCGTGTTTTGCGCTTCTCCCTCGCAGCGACCTGACCCGCACCACCACTTGGCTGCATCCGCGCTCCGGCGAGCCCGTCAACTCCGGCCACATGATCCGCTCAGGTGCGTCCCCTCCGCGTCCCCTCCGCGCCCCGCGGCCGGCAGGCTCCGCGGGCCGGCTTCTCACCCCTCCTTCCCGCTCTCTCTGTTTCCCCGTCCCCCGTGCCTTGCAGACCTGCCCCGCGGATGGGAGGAGGGCTTCTCGGAGGAGGGCGCCAGCTACTTCATCGAGTGAGTACCGGCTCGCAGAGCGCCCAGGCCGGGCTCAGCCCCGCCGCCCCCGCGCCGGCCCCGCACGTCCGCCCGCTTCGTTCCTCATCCAGCGGCAAAGTTGGCTCCGGGCGCGGCGCGATGCGGGATCCCCCCAGCCCGGCTCTGGCGGGGCTCAGCAACAGGTCTCCTTGGAGGCGGCACTTGAGTTTTCGCTGTTTGTTCGGGTTTTTTTTGTTGTTGTTTTTTTTTTTTTTTTTTTTTTTTTTTTTTTTTTTTTTGGCGTGTGTTTGTTCGTTTGTGTGCTGCCTCTCCCTGCCCGCTATTCGCGGTGAGGTTTGCGGCAGGTGGAGCTGTGCCTTGCCGGCCGGGCTGGGAGGTGGATGGTGCTGTTGTGGTTTGAAATGGCTCGCGGCTGTGGACGCAGCCCCGGGAAGTTTTGGAAGTGAAAGGCTTGCGGTGTCTCTTCGCAGAGACGGGGCTGAAGGGGTGAAGTTGCCTTGCCAGGGCTGGGGGTGCTGTCGGGATCTTTCGTGTGCGGTTTCTTGTTCAGAGAGCAGCTACAAGCACGGATGTGCTGCTCATTGACGCGTTTTTACTCTATGAGATGCCAGCGTGTAAAGTAGGATAACTAAGAGACCTTTCAAACATTGCCGATAAAAGGTTTTTACAAAGATAAACTCTGATGTAAAAGTAGGGATTTAATCAAATGAGTAAAACTCTGGTACATCTTGGGTATAGAGTCGCGTGTCACGTGTGAAGTCTTTGCGTTTTCCTTTGGAAATCTGAATGTCTGGCAAACTTAATGGAACCATCAGAAAAGGGTTGGCAAATGCTCATTGCTTCAGGGCAGGACTGGTTGTTAAGGCAGGGGCTGACAGCAGTGTCACAGTTGTCCAGTATTGAAATTCTTGCAGAGTGTACCCCAAAATCTTTGAGTAACTTGAGGTTTTAGTCAATATCAAACTTCCAAACCATACTGGGCCGGGTGAAGGAGCAATTGACTGAAGGGATAACAAATGCCTCCCATGAAGGATGTTTGTTAAATAAAATTCCAGATGGTACTAAAATGTCCTTTTTTCTTTTTTTTACCTGCAGAGGAGAAAAAAGACATTCAATCTTCATTTGTCTGAGCCAGAGAATTCCTTCCAGGGCTGGGCTGGGCAGTTAGTTTAGCCCTTGACTCTTGAACAGGAGTAGCAAAGCATTGGATAGCAGCTCAATAACGCTTAGAGCTGCCACCCTTTATCTGTGGCCAGTGCGTTGAAAGGAAGGAATAAAAGTTCTAAAGTTCTGCTGGTTGCACAGACCAGAGCTGGAACTCTAAAATGTCCAGACTGTAAATGTGCTCTAAACAGATCCTTTACATGGGTGCATAAACTTCTAGGTATAGGAATACATCTGTTTGTTTTTCTGTCCTTTCCAGGAACTTATTAGTACGATTTTAGAACAGCTTAAATTCCTCTTCCCAAGTGCTTTGTTTGGAAAACCATCTCTTGTCTTGTTTGTCAGGAAGTTACAAAACTTTTAATTTCTGATCCATTGAATTAGAGTTATGTGCAGTGCATTTTCATAACTTGTGCTAATAGTGTTTTTCACCTTGGGCTGGAACTGCTGCAGGAAATAAAATAAGGAATGGAGTATATATGCACTGCTCTAGCCTCTCTAATTTCAGCTCAGAGGCTTCCTGAGCCTAGTGGAATTTCTCATTTTTTCTTCCATGAGTATTCTGAGCTTTTCTTGTGCTCATGTAAACGTCAGTGTCCTTAGATTATGATTTCCATCCCTCACTGCTCTCTTCATTCCTCCTGTGCTGCTTCCACGTGATGAGTTCTCAGCTTACAGAAAAGGTTACTGGTCCCTAAACGCATGATTTCACATGTTGTACTATTAAATTCCATCCTCTGGCATTCCAGCTCTCAAAACCCATGAACTCTCCTGGATAACTACCCAGTCCTCTTTGTACTGGTGACAGTTCCAGTCTGGAGTCCTGTACAGAAATTTCACAAGCACATTGTTACTCCTTGGATACTAATTTATTGAAGGGTGTCAGGAGGAATGTTCCAAGCAACCCCTCCCCCTTGTGATCATTTCCACAATTAATACAGCCTATTGTAGTTTTACCACGTTGGCCACTTAATGGATTTTGTAAGTCTTATTATTTCTCTAATGAAATTAAAGGTATTACTAAGTATTATTGCTGTTTCAAATAACTTCAATCAAACATTTTATTTAAATATATACAGGCTAACTCCACTTGCATAACTAATTTCTGGTACAGATATCATGAAAATATTTGATAAAACATTGGATGTGAGTGATTGTTGATGGAATAAACTTCTCTTATGTCCATTTACTTCCATGTCTTTATTGCTTCTTTCAATACTGTGGACAAACTTGAAGCATCAAAAAGTAAAACAAAAGTTTGAAACATCATAAAGTAAAACAAAGGTTTATAATGTGGTCAGGCTTCATATCAAAACCAGGTAAGCTTCTCTCTCCTTTCCACCTGACAGGAGTTTGAAAATTTCCAAAACTCCACTTCTGTTGGATAGCAGCTTTCCAGATTAACGTGCTGTGGTTTAGAATGTTTTTTGCTGTTCTGCAGTTGGGCAGCTGTCCTGTAGTTGCAGGGGCACTGTTTTCCCTTTGTTTATTTGAGATGCTTGTCTGAAATCACGTTCCCTCTTAGCCTTGTTTTGCTCACTAAGCAAGCCAGGTTCTTTGTTCAGCCCTTTAAAAAGGGCTCTCGGTGTGTTTGGTTATGCTGTAGTTTGTCTCTGCACCTCTTGCAATATGAAGTCATCTTTGTTGATGTGAGTGCACAGAGTCCTCTGCTGGAGTGAGCTTTTGTGAGGCTCTCGAACAACAAAAGTGCTTTCTTGGCCTCAAAGTTTTCTCAGTTTTCTCCATTTTAGGTTGTTTGCCTATTTAGGGAAGATGCCCCCACTGACAGCACGTGTGAATGCTGCTAATTGACTGAGACATGCAGGTCTTTCTTTTTTGTTATTGCTTTAAATTTTAATTTCTATTAGGAGGCTACATTCCAGTCTTCCCATTCCTGCACATCCATATCTCTGCGAATTATTTTCTTTTTTCCAAATATTCCTCAGGTTTTCTTGATAGTGGCAAACCCTGCTAGGGCAGTACTGCTTCTTTTCCTAAAATCACTAAATAAAACATTAAATAAGTGATGTATAAACTAATTCTTCTGTATCTCCATGCAGTAGTCCTTGAAGGAATCATGGTTGTCACATTTTTGAGTGCTGAATGCAGTTTGCCCCACACTTTTCCATCTCTTTTTTTGTTTGTTTACTGATGTTTTTCAAATACCTTATGTTTGTGGGGCAAGTGCTTTATGGGAGAGTCACTCTAGAAATGTTGTTGCTGAGCATCTGTGGAACTGAATGAAGACTGGACAGCCCTGGCTCTGGTTTGTTTCTGGTGGCTGATGTGAAATGTTAATTGTGGTTGGCAAACTGTGGAGAAGGAGATGGGAATGCAGGGAAGGTAGGGATGATGGTGAAGCAGTGCATGTATGCATTACAGTGAGGGGTTTTCTTTTATTTGCTTCTCTTTTTCTGGTTGTCTGAAAGACTTGTGGAAGTTGGAAAGCTTGGGAAGAGTGGAATGCCTTTTTGTTATCTTCTTACAGCTTTCAGAGATTGAGGTGGCTACTGGTGTGAAAGGATCTGTTCTTGCAGTGTTTGATACCTAACTGGCTTGTATTTAAATAAGTTAAAAAAAGTTCCTGCTGCTCCAGAGGTTCTTTTTGAAAGCTTCAATGGTATTGCACATCTGCAAGGTAATCATGAATTCAAATTGTAGCCTAGAATTAGGAACAAAAAAGTAGAAACCAGCACTTAAATATCTGAAGTTCGCCTTTTATTTGTTTCTGAAGTCAGTTTCTAGTTCAGCTTGGCCTCTTCTTTGGGCAGCAATGTGAATGTACAAGAAACAAACCCGTGAAATTGGCGTAGCAATGGTCAGTAACTGTTTGCAACTGTTATTCGTTAATTCTTGTATTTAGCTGTACTGTGTGTAGGAAATATGCAAGGTATGTGTTTCAAGTGTTTGGAAATAGGCAAGGAGCAAAACACACTGAACAGAAGTCTGCCTTTTAAACTTTGATTCTGCGTGTGCTTTCAGGTACAGGGTCACTGAAAACCATCCAGGAGCTCAGATTCAGCCACAGTGGGCTGCAGATGATACCCACTTAATGATCGCATTAATGATTAATTATTAATTAATTAATGGTTATTTAATCACAGAAGCCCAAAGGGGAAGAGGCCGTCTGTATTATTGAGTTCAGTCCTTGTGATTATCTGAGAAGATTGTTTTATAATCTCATTAATAAATTTAATCAGCACATTTCTTCTGCCCTGCAGAAATTCCTGTCTTCCCCACTCCTAGTAGGATGTTGAAAATGGCATCTTTTTTTTTGTGGCTGTTTAGGTAGGCTAAAACACTATTTAGTATGTGTTCCTTGACCTGCTATAAACAAATTATTATTTCTTGCTCTGTTCTCCATGATGGTTATTGCTGTAGAATACTACAGCAAGGAAAGGAAAGGAAGGAAATAAGTAAGGAAATAATGATGACCCTCATAATGAAATCTCCTGTGTAGATGATGTCCTTTGTGGTTCTTGACCCTGTGCTTAAACTGAAGGAAATGTGTAAATAAGTGCATGAATGACGTGAAACCCAGGTGTGAGGCTGGGCTCACCTCTCAGTGTCTGCTGTGCTGGGCCACTTCCAGTCGGGGAGGGTTCCTGGAGTGGAATAAAGGTTGGGTAGCTGGAGAACTACACCAGAAATAGTGAGAACTTCACCAGAAATGCTCTGCTTGCACCATGGCTACAAAATGTGAGGACAGCCTCTCATTCACGGTGAAATGAATGGGTTTTGTGTGCGACAGAGTGGGGGAACCTGGAGGGAAAGAAAGCTGGAGTGGTTCCTCAGCAAGGGGCAGAGGACCTGGCGTGGGTGAGCTCCAAGCACCAAGTGCAGAATTGTGGATT